TATGTAATCGAATGATGAAACCGTTACGAGCAGAGGAAACAAAGGGAAAGGTATATCTGTAGGAGCGTAGAGGGTGGAGGCCCATAGTCTTTCTCTCCCAAATTGAGGAACAAGAATGATATCAAGTATTATCATCATTTATCACATACATTGTTGCATTTTACTCATGAATAGTACTTCAAACAACACCATATATAAAAGTGGCACAACCTTTTTTTGTGACTAGTGCTCAAGTATATTGATTCAATAACATATAATCATTCTCTTTATCCCTAACTTATTGACAGCTAATCTCAACTCAACCCTCACCCTCAACATTCTTGTATAAAAGAAAGTACGATGACAGTAGTTGAATGAATGCCGTTGTGTCATATTGAATTAGTATTAAAAACATGCGTTTTAGAGAAAAAAATTTATTAAAACTTGCTTTAGCTGTTGGAAAGTTCAGTGGCACTGACGTGTACTTATATCACTTCATAGGCCTTATTCAGAGTAACGGTAGCCGCGGGTGCGTGTAAATCGAATATACGTAGACCCTCCTTGCGTTCACAGTGGTCACGCGCACCGGTGCCTGTCACGAGGCGGGGGCGTGTGGATCTATTGGCTCGATCCGCCGCCCGTACCTTTCGCAGTGCTTGGTCTAGCATCTGGCGTCTGATGATGAGGTGATGTAACGTCCACAAACGTGTGCGTAGACGTCACACACACAAATCACTGAATTTTGCCTGCCTCCTTGGCCGAACGAAAAGTGGAACTATTCAGAAACACGTAACAGCTGACAACTACCGCTTAAACGAATTAAACGTTACACACGCTGCCACATATTATCAACTAATTAATTTAGATGTTAAGAACCGACAATTGAGTCTATTAACCATAAGACAGGATGCTGGCACGACAAAAGGATTGTCACGCTAATTGTCTTTGTAATATGTTTAATCCGTTTTTATTAAAGTCTTTGTTTACTATTAGGGGAGATGACCTTTATTTTTGGTATTTGACCCGTTCATGAACGATAACTAGTGTTAAATTAAATATAATAATATCTCTCAATAGGATCTATAATGGGATCTTAATATAATCACCTTTTGTCTGTGTAATTTCCAAGTACTTTCGGTGTAGTCGTTGCCCACTGCTTCTCCATAGAGAAGTATTAACAAAATACTAACAAAATTAATAATAATGACGCACACACTCAACATAGTCCCGAACTAGGGAAACCCTGTGTCGCGGGTGCCGTGGACACATACATAAATTACACCTAAACTCATGAGAAAAATAAAAGTAGGCCATACAAATATTTCGCCCGGCAAGGGAATCTAACCCGGGATCTCTGTGTGGCAGTCCGATATGATAACGATTCAACCACGGGGGTAGTAGTTACTTTACTTTGTACATGTTAAAGAATTCTATCCATTCATTATTATAATTATACTTTAAAAATAAACTATTTATACATTGAAAAACAAATTATTATCCATTGATAAGCTAAAATATTCTTATTCTAATGAAATTAAAAAACACTATACTGGGACTTACAGTGTTTTGGTTTGTCACATTAGTACATTTCTTGCTATGAACGCCAAAAACGACCTTGTCCGCACGATAACCATACCGATTATTGAGAAACATGTAAAAATAAATATAACAGCCATTAATATTTATTCGGAATTAAGTATACTTCCATTTATTAAAGTTGAACGAGTCACGGAACCCGGATGTGACTTATTTCGGTACAAAAGAGTTACAAGCATTACTTATTACTTAAAACTGCTTTACAAATAAAGAAATTTTTAATAAGATTGTTTACAAAGCTATATTCGATTATTTTTTGTGAAATTAATCTACTGATTTCTTATAATTATTCATATGAAGATATTATTAGATAGGTGGAAAAGAACAATATATAATTTTGCTTTTTTTATTTTAAGGTTGGATTTGCATCAACGCCTTCGTCATACTATGCCTGACGCTAGCTGAGCTACGGAACGAACCAGCAAACCTTACAGTTTTACTTCGCTCAGCTATGTACCTTACAGCTGCCTTTCCACCAGAGATGTGTAATAGGATTACTTCATTTTCCTAGGCTCGCTTAGTGCTGTGGAAAAGGGTTAGCGGAACTAAATATTTGTACTTACAAAATAGCGAGAAATGTGTGCGAGAGATCTGTACGAGGAATGTGTGCAAAACGGTGTAGGAACTGGAGCTACTGAGACTATGACGCTAATTGACGCTGACATATCGCAACAGCGTACCGTGGGGTACGGTATGGTGGCGTGAGCTGTTGCTGAAATGCGCACAGTTTTGGTGGAAAATATCACACCATTTCACAGCGCTGCTACACATCCTCGAACCGCCTCGTTTTCTCGTACATCTCTAGTGGAAAGGCAGCCTAACAGCTACCAGCAGCTGACTAGACATGTCACGTACTAGAGATGACACGTAGGCTAAACACTTTGTACTTTAAACTATCGTATTACTACCATAGAGTTCAATTGAAACGCTCAGAGAGAAGTTCCAGTTTCCGTAAATTATAATTTCCACTTTCCAGCTACAAAATACAAATAAAAAACATCATAAATAATTAAAAAATTAAAAAGACAGTCGAGTTTCAATTAAATTATCGCCGGTTAATGACCTGTGGGACAGTTTTCGTGTCGCAGTCAAAGCGGGAAGCCCAAGCGAATACAAACATTGCTAGTAATTAATTTACGTAACAGGCGTGTGTTACTTTATTTTCTTGTATAATTTATTTGAATGGGCCTTTATTCTGGCGCAGTCATTTGTCATTTCTTGTTCTTTTTAATATGAAAATGGAATGAACGAGTTATAGTCGGCTGTCGGTATCAAATACATTATTCGATAATTCAGTTTACGTACACTCGAAGTATAATCCAGAAACAGTGCTAATAAGGGCAATAACATATAAAGAGTCGTAGCATTGGGCATTATTTTAATTGGTTTAATATTAGATATAATTTTAAGTATATTGTAGACATATTGGAAATGAAACTAATTTTTTTGATATAAATCGCATATATTTGTTGTTTTTACACAAACCAACATTTAGGACTCTTTACAGGTCAATCAGCTGTAACCATGAGACATGAGATTTCCGCAAACTAACGCGGGAATTTATTAATCAGTTAATTAGTAATAGTCCTAGCATATTATAAATGGTATTACCTATAAGGTTATATTATTTAAAACTAATATAAAAAAGAACTTTTGACCTATATAACTAAGGCTAAATAAATTGTTTTACTAATAAAATAGAATATAAACAATTTACAATAACTACATTAGGTAGGTAAAAGTTAGATGTTGTGTAAAAACTCTACAATGTTTGTAATCGATTAGTATCATATTTGTAACTACACATTTTATGTTATAAAGCTTTTTTATGCCTTTTAAAAATATGTGATAATGTATGTATTTTTATAGCAAACTTTACGATAGCAAGAACATTAGGAATATAAAACGACCTTTCTAAAGCTACATTGTAATATTTTTGTACATATATATATGTATATATTAATATAGAATGTGTAACTTTATATGGATGGATGGAATATGGATTTTTGGGTTCTCAAAAAGAAACAACCGTTGTTGGACGAACTTGTATTAAAGACTATCGAAAAAAACAATATGGGTTTAAAGTCAACAAAATGCTTGCGTGTTTTATTTCAAAAACTACGCCATCTATTGGCATTTCGGAGTAAGTAGCAATCTTGCATAAAGATTGTTAATCCATTTTGTGTTCTTTCTCCTATTATTAATTCCATTTTTCCCTTTCCTTCTCTACTTATTGTGATTTAAGGCTACTACAGGCCAAGATCGTATCTAGCTCGTCACCCCGTCTCCCTCTGGGCCTTCCACGTGTCCGACTTTCGTGAGATGGTAACCCCTCTGTGGTGGTCTTTACCCACAGCACGCTTGACATGCGGCAGATCAGCCCAGTTTCATTTTAGGCTGGTGGGTTTTTAACCAACGTCAACAATTTGTGTTTTACAAAGTTATTATTACTTTTATTCATTTTATAATTAATGATACAGTTATATATAACGATGTGCACTCAAATGCCATAACGAATTTTCATATTTAAAAAATATACAACTAAAAAACGCAAGAAGCAGTCTACTGCTCTTCTCCTTGTGAAAGAGTTAATCCAGGGAAATACTGCCACCATACGTATTTTTGCCGCTAAGCGTACAATGTGACCCTTACTGCGTTTCGGTTTTATAAAGTAATGGTGCTGGTGAAATTACAGGTACATGGGGGACTTATATCTCAGAGTGACGGTCGTGGCACT